ACCGCGTCACACTGCTAGAAACACCCAAAAGTGGCAAGAAGAAAATGGTCTCCAGAAGTGGCCCTGGCTGAGCCAATCTCCTGACATGAACCCCATTGAAAACGTCTGGGCCATACTCAACTGGCAAGTCAAGAAACAACCAAAAAGACCAACTTTGAATAGCAATCTACTCCAAGTTTTGAAGCAAGAGTGGGCGAAAATCCAACAATCTAAAATTGACGAGATGATTCTCACGATGCCCCTAAAGATCAACGAACTCCACGAAGCGAAAGGAAGATCTATTAGATATTAATTAAATTATAGATATATCAATTCATGTGAATATGACTGAAAATGTTCATTTATTCTGAAAAGATGGTGTCTATTTACTTGTGACCACACTGTGTATATAGATTATTACTGTTTAGAAATAAGTTGTTAAACATATTTTTCTTAAAACATAGAGCAGTAAATATAGAAGTAAAGCAAACAATTATCTCTTCTCGTTACAACCTTTGTACTCGGTTGCTACTTGACATAGGTTGCTAAGCCTTTTAAACTTTTGCACGTAGAGGTTGTGAAACAAAATAATTTTTTTAGGTTTTATATATACAGACTAAAGACATGACCTACCTCATTAAAATCTTGGTTTGAAAGAAAGAGATGGTATCCAAACACATTAAAATGGCTGAGAAAGCCACTAGGGGGACATTCTGAGCTTCCAATTGGTTACTCATGTCATATATTGAAGTAAGTGTATATAAGGGAGCATCTCCAAAAATGGAAAGAGGTGGGTGGGGTTCCACTGTGTTTGATTTATTACATAAGCAATATCTTAGCAAATTGAAAAGATAAGACCTTCTTATTTTATATTCTAGCTTGTAACTATCGGTAATTTGAGTTCCTAATTCATACAAAACTATAGACTTAGTATTTTGACTTCACAAATGTCTAATATGAACCAGTGCTGCATTTAACATAACACGTGACACAAAAATTGATGTTTATCTGTGTTTTTTTTATAATTTACTTTTAAATTAAGAAACTGAGTAAGGCATAATACTAAAATTTGAATTATAACCTACAATTTGATACCAAACTTATTGACATAAATTCATAAAATAGTAGTTCAATAACATTTTGAATGTGAGTTAACAAATGAGGTGACATAGCCTTTCACCCGTGACCTGTCTGGAAAGTGTTCAACAGAATGATTAGTGGAAGTTTAAAAGCTTTCTACATCCAGCCAATAAATACCTGTATATATGTATGTGTGCTTAAAGATACATATTCTAACTTAGTTATAGAAGAGAAAAATTAACAGTTACGTCAACTGTGACAGTTTGAAACTTTAGTAGAACTTTTAAGTTGTATTTTATTATAAATAGATTTGATAAAATTATTATCTTACCATAAATTTTTCGTTTTGTTTTAGGCAATGCAAAGTAAGCTCCTTAGTGGAGGGAAGAATATTATTGATCATACTAATGAACAACAGAGGGCGCTTGAACAAAGAAAACAGGAAATCACTGAACAAAAGGTAGGGGTTTTGTTGTTTTCAAGTTTATTTCTGATGAAATGTATTTCAACATTTTTAGCTGTAAACATATGAACCATCAGTTTTAAATAACGTTATATTTCTCAGTCTAAGAACTTTGATTATGTTTAATGTCACAACCTGTAACGTTGTCTCAGCACTTCAGTATGTCATAACCTGTAACGTTGTCTCAGCACTTCAGTATGTCATAAGCTGTAACGTTGTCTCAGCACTCCAGTATGTCATAACCGTTACAGGTTATGACATACTGGAGTGCTGAGATAACTTTACAGTTGTCTCAGCACTTCAGTATGTCATAACCTGTAAAGTTGTCTCAGCATTACAGTATGTCATAACCTGTAACGTTGTCTTAGCACTTCAGTATGTCATTACCTGTAACGTTGTCTCAGCACTTCAGTATGTCATAACCTATAAAGTTGTCTCAGCACTCCAGTATGTCATAACCTATAAAGTTGTCTCAGCACTCCAGTATGTCATAACCTATAAAGTTGTCTCAGCACTCCAGTATGTCATAACC